TATGGGAGCAGAAAGCTTCATCTTTCTCCCGCAGAACAGCTGGTAGTTTCGAACTGCTGACCTTGTGGTTCGCAGTCCGATTTGTAACCACTACGCTACCAGAAGTCTCACATATGCTTGTTTAAACAGCTAGGATAGCAATGTCAGCCATTCACCCAGGTCTTTGGCCCCCATAAAAGGTACTCTTTGAATTCTGAATTCTTTTGAAGATGAAAATTTTATAATTGATAGTACTAACTGATAGCATGTGAGAACAAAGCATATAAACTGAAATGATCTCAGGCAAATTAATGTCACTGGTTAATGTTATGTGTCAGTTCTTTGATTCTATGATTATTATAATCAATTTCTTTCATGGGTCAGTTATTATAGTTTTCTGACTCATAGATGTGAGTATCAGGTGTTCATCATGCCATGGGCTTCCAGTACATTTCTTAACTCAAGTGTTAAGGTGTCTTCTGGATCTACAGTAGTTCTAGAGCAATTAAAGAAGTCTGAGCGCTTGGGAAGTCAGATAGATTATCTAAACATTGAGAAGATTCCTGATGTAACATTTTATTGCTTTCATCAGGTAAATAAATCTCTTATCTGCTGGTAAGGAAGAACTAACACATATTTTCAACAAACTATAGAGAAAAGCCTTCAGCCTATGTGATCTGAAGGGTAAGGAATAGCTCAGAAAATTATTCCAGGACCTAATCCTTAATGTCAGACAAATGTTATTACGGAAAAAAAAATTCACAGTTTGGAACAGAGATCCTTCTTCATGTCCCTGAATAGATATGATTTTGTTGTTTGTAGCATGGAGATTATGTTCAATAAATGGAAATAGAAGAAAACACAATTATCAACTAAATACATAAGCAGTTATAGCCTACCTACAGTGAGTAGCAGTTAGAAATTTGGAATGAACATCTCATCACTATAGAAAATAAAAAGCATCGGCTTGTGGTGGCCTGTGTGAACATTCTTAACAAGACTGAGAAGTCTCACCAATCCATGGACAAACTTCTCCAGGAATTTATGTCCTTTTCGTATTTACTCTATCTTCTTCCAATTTTGTATGGACTTTGCTAAGGGTGATTTAGCATTCATTTATCAGATAGCATTGAACATCCTCTAAATGGGTGACCAAATTCCTTTAGAAAGCAATTATTGGATATACATTGATAAACAAGACATATTTTCTGCTGCCTTGCAAATGGTAACCAACTACTAGAAGTCTAAAATAATCAAAAGGTCTGATAATCTCCCTTCATTGGTTTTCTTATTCAATACTCACAACCATAAGCCCCATGCTTTCAGATGACAAGCTTTGTTTAGAGCTGTTTTGTTCCAGAACTCTAAAAATCACACAAAATAACTGAAATGTCATGGAATAATTTGACTCTGGATCAGAGCATTATAATGAGTCAGTCTGATAAAAATTTATGTTTAACTTCTCACTTATCAGCTGCAAGCAAAATATTGTAGTTTTTCATATTACTTAAACAAAGTAATTACTTAAAAAGTCTTTTCCAAAAGAAGAAACAAAATATCTAATTGAAAACAGGCCTACTCATAATTGGTGATTAGAAATTGAATCCTATGAAAGTATGAAAGAGTGATCCATTTATTCAACTTACTTTTATGGAAGCAAAATTTCAAAGAATTAATCAAGTTAAAACTTTAGAAATGAGTTGAACTAATTAAGTGTAAAAGGAAGGTAGAATTAATGGATGTGATAAATCCAACAGCAAAAAAAAAAAAAAAAAAAGAAATTATAATGAGCAATGAGCTAAATTTATCAGATCTGTTAGTTTGTTTGTGTAATACCACTAACTAGGATTGTCATGTGTGGGGATAAGATATTGTTGTTCTTGTTAGCTGCCATTGAGTCCGTTTTGACCCATAGCGACCTTATGCACAGCAGAATGAAACACTGCCTGATCCTGGGCCAACCTCAGGACTGTTGCCACACTTGAGTCCATAGATGCTGCCACTTAGCCAATCCATCTCATTGGGGGTCTTTCTCTTTTTCTCTGACCCTCCACCTTACCAAACATGATATCCTTCTCCAGTGACTGGTCCGGCCTGACAATATGTCTGAGGTATGAGAGATGAAGTTTGGCCATCTTGGCCTCCAAGGAGCACTCTGGCTGCACTTCTTCCAAAACGGATCTATTGGCTCTTTTGGCAGCCCATGGCAATAAGATATAGTACATGATTATGTCAAGTGTTGGTTGTTGTTGTTAGGTCCATCGAGTCAGTTCTGACTCATAGAGACCTTGTATCAAGTTTTCAAAGAGAGGCTGGTGGGTTTAAACCACAAACCTTGAGGTTAGCAACCTAGTGCTTTGCAACAGGACTCCATGCCAAGTGTAGCGTGCTTCATTCAAAGAGTATGATTTCTCATGAGTCAGCAAAACTAAAGAAAAGGAACCTATGAATTAATTTATATCCATGGTCCATTAAAATATACCCCAACCTGGAAATAAAACTTTACCATCTCCTTTTAGCTCTAATGGTACCAGAAATCACAGGAAATAGGAGATATCAAAGATACATTTCTCCACAGCTTACATGTTGTAATATGTCTCATGGAGTACTCCCTCTCCTAATAACTTTATGTCTTTGCTACTCAAGCACGTGATATAAGAAATCTCCAATGACTCCACTCAGAGAGTGGAGGCAAAATTAAAGGATATAAAAACCATTTTTGAGACTAAAGCAAGGATTCATGTTGTTACCCAAATTACCATTAACTGCAATTTAACAATAATCCGAAATTTCTGTTGACCTACCACAAATCATTATACACACCTCAGTTCTAGTTGAATTATTCTTATTATCCATACACTTGGAAGATGAATGATATATTTTGCAATCACTGTAATTTGCATTGACAAACTTCATTGAATCAATAGAAAAGTAATAGCATGTATCTCCATATGATATCCATAAATTTGAGCATCTGAGATCTGAAAAGAAAAAAGTAAGGGCTATAATGATAAGATGTAATTATATATATTCATGGCAAGCATGCACGTCTACACTATAAATAAACAATGTTGTTCTTAAGTGGCATTGAGTCAGTTCTGACTCAGAGCAACTCTGTGCAGAGTTTCTGAGGAGTGGCTGCTGAGTTTGCACTACGGACTTTGTGGTTCTAACAGACCTTGCGGTCCAGTGCTTACCAGTCATATAGATAATGCACTGGACCACATGATGGTTTTAAACCACAAGGTCGGTGGTTCAAACTTACCAGCTGTTCCTTGGAAATCCTATACAGGGTCATTATGGATTGGAATCAATTTAATGGCTCTTAAAAACAACAATAACACCTTAATATATAAAGTTGTGTATTAGATATCAAAAGAATATATATATA